AAGTTGAGTGAAGACAAATTGTAGTTTTCTAGTTGAATAAAGATATCCCAGGCAGAAGTTATGTGCAAATGAGTGCCTGAGAGAATATTGTTTCTTTGGGGGAAATCACTGAGCATTTATTTAAGAGCTTTTCCTGAGCCCTTCCGATTGTTTTGTAATCAGTAATACACATGTCATAGAATGAAGTATTTGATGACTAGAATTTATATTTCTTAAAAAATTTTAGTATTAGGGCTGGAGAGATGGCTCAGCAGTTAAGAACACTGAATGGCCTTGCTGAAGACCCGGGTTCGAGTACCAGCACCCACATGGCAGCTAACAACTGTTCGTAACTCCAGTTCCAGGGGATGTGACAGCCTCTTCTGTCCTCCGTGGGCATTGCATGACACTGGTGCACTTACCTACATGCAGGCAATACAAGCACACACATAAAATAAAAATAAAATAAATTTTAAAAATAAATATTTTTTAAAAAGAGTCTCTCTCTTACTCTATCCAGAATGTCAAGCCAAGATTGGGGTCCTTCACAGTCTCCTATCTTTGAAACTTTGCCCTTCTTTCCTCTTACCTCTCTCCTTAGAATCTGGCTTTCTGGTCCAGTGCCCACCAGCCTACAACCTACCCCAGCTCTTCTCCAGAAACCAGATCATCTCAGTGGCATGGGAAGGGGGTAGAATCCAAGATCCCAGCTCTTCTACATCTCCCTCAGAGGTCAGGAGAGGCAGCACAAGGGAGAGTTTTAGGCCCAGTGCTGTAGGCAAAATGGCAGTGTTGGAGGAGGCCAGGCTGTGTCTTTTCAAGAGCTGGCCACTTGCTCCAGGTGCCACAAACCCAGGACCTGTCCATGACTACAGCCTGTACCTCCTACCCTGGGCTTCCAGGACTAAGAGTCCAGTGTAGGGCAGCATGTGATAGTGGCGAAGGGATACAGCCCTAACCCAAGTTTAACTGCAGGTCAGTCTCCATGCAGGGGACTCAGACTCGGTCTGGACATGTCCTCAGCCAGTGCATCCCCACCCCGCCCTCTTGCCTTCCTGGCTCAGCCAGCCCAACCCAGCCCAGCCCTGAGGAGAGCGTTGGCAGCTAGAGCTGGGAAAAGCATGGCAGAGCCAAAAACAACAGGCACCGCCTGGGTGCTGTGCAGACCCCCTTCTGGCTGGCAGCAGCCCCTCCTACTGCCTCAACCCTGTTTATTGTTTCCACCCAGGCCCCTCTGCTGCCCTGCTGGCCACACTTGCTTCCCTTTGTCAGACCCCAGGCTGGCCCTGCAGGTCACTAGCATCCTGTACCTCTAAGTGGAATCTTCCCCTTTCCTAAGGTTCAGAATCCTCACCCTCTCACCCTTGCTAGTTCACGGGGTCTCTTCTCTACACACAAACATTTCTGGGAGGTGGGTAGCTTCCTTTCTAAGTCTCTCGCCGTGTGTTTTGCTTGTACTTCCTGCTAGATTCTGCAGGTGCTCTAACTGTTCTCTATCCTGCAGTGACAGTGTCCAGGATGAGTCTGAGCCCCTGCCAGAGCATTATTTTGAGACAAGGTCTCCCTGTAGCCACAGCTGGCCTGGAACTCACTATGTAGACCAGGCTGGCCTCGATCTCACTGAGATCCACCTTGCCTCTGCCTCCCAAGTGCTGAGATTAAAGGCGTGTGCCACCATGGTCAGCTGAACATATTTTAAAAGGCTGGGTCCCTGAATCAGGGAGACTGGCAGAGGTACAACATTCCCCTTTGCATGGAGGATTCTAGCAGACTAGAAGGCAAAGTTACTGTAGTCTGTGCTCTGCATAGAGTTGAATCCTGAGGATTCAGGGGATATAAGTCTTGCTCTAGTGCTGTCAGCCTTCCTTCCATCTCAAACCTTCCATCTTCTGTAGAAGTGTCCAGCCAATTTGATTGATTTCACTTTGGAGTCTGGGCCAACAAACTTTCTGACCCAGTAGAGGCAGTATCGCTGCTCTGGGCCTCCACCAGTGCTGACTTTGGCAGAGAATCTCTCTCTGGCCCTGGGTGGGGACTTCGTGATTCTCTCACTCTACCCATCCCCAGTCAACTCTGGCCTCCTCTATGCTGGACTGGATGAACCTTTCCCACCCCGCCTCCATGAGGGGATGGAAAGGGCAGAAGTGTCTTTTATTTCAAGCCCATTTCTATGGCCCTCCAGTGTGCACAATCTACCCTACCTGTGCCTGTTCTCTGCTGTCATCTCAGCTCTTCTCCATTCCTGTTGCTCAAAGCCAGAGGCCACATCCCTTCTAGCCACACAATGAAACAAAGCATCAGAATGTTCTTTAATTCTTCCAAGTTCATCTTTTTCTTCCCTATTCCACCCTCAGCCTGCCTCTGCTTTCCTATTTGGCACCCTTCCCCCACTTGAATCTCCTGGGGGAGCCCCAACAGAGGTATGATCAGGAGAAGGGGGTCACCAAGGGCAGATTTGCAGCAGATTTGGTCATAATTGGAAGGCCTGGGGCACCGGGCAATTCCTTTCTTTATTGATCCCAGCGGGAAATTAAAGCCAGTAGATGGGTATGGTATGAGCTATTGCTGGAGGCAGCTCCTCCCCATAGCCTGGCTCTGGGGCCCTAGCCCCTGCCCCTGACCGGTAACTCCCCATTCATCTTTGCTAGCCCTCTCTCCCAGTCACCCCAGCTCCCTCATCTCCCAACTCTCAGTGTTCCTGTTCCCTAGCAGCTCACTGAAGCTAGTCAGCACCTTGCTCCCGCACTTACGGCAAAGTTGGGGTGCTGGAGCTCTGGCCCTGAGCTGCCAAACCACAAACACATCTGGAAAGAATTCCCGCCCAGTCCCACTTCCCTTTGTCTTACTTTGGTCTCAGAGGAAATCCTAGCTAGCTGCTGGAGGAGGGGGGCAGAGGTGAAGGGAGGGGAGAGGGGCTTGGACTCAGGGATCCCAGTCTCTACCCCGTGGAGCCCCCTCCCAGGCTGTAGTGTCTGTGGGACTCTCCTCTCGGCCTGTGCTCCCCCCGCACTATCACCCAAGGCTTCCCTCCTAGGCTAGGTATTTTCATCCCAACGCGCGTCCCTGAGGGCGCATCAACATTCTAAGTCTCAAGGCTCCTAGGGAAGAGCCAGGGTCGGCCCTTGCCTTTTTCTCTTTCGGGAGGAAGGATGCCACCTGAGTAGCAGCGTGGACTCTTCCACCCGCGTGCTCCAGACGTCTGGAGTAGGGTGGAGATGAGCACAGCGACTTGCGTGGGAGAGGCAGAGACACGGGGTGGGGGTAGGGTGGGGGCGGGAGGCAGCTGGCGCCAGTTTTCCGAGTGTTTCCCTTCTCAAGCCTCTTTCCTCATCCCTTGAGCTAGAAGCGGGATTTCAAAGTCAGAGCCTAATCCTCTCCCTTGTACCTACCATCGCTGCGCCAGAGGGAGGGGGAGGAGCCGCAGGCCTGCAACCCTGCACTGCTAGCGCTCCTCAGGGCCCCCTTTCCTCAGCACCTCTGCGGCGAAGCTGGTGTCCGCTTTCTTCCGTAAGCCCTGGCCCCTACGCCCCCAAATCAGCTCATCCACACAGAATCTGGAGTCCTATACCCAGGCCAGAGTGTCTAATTTCCTTGGGGGTGGGGAGGTCTGGAAGCCTTCTGCGCGGGAGCCTCCATCCCTCCCCTGCGGCCAGCCCAGCTGCCCTCGTTGTCAACACTGCATTATTCGATATCTTGTCGACCCCAAGACCTGACCCGCACGACACTGTCCGGTCTCGGAATAAGGTTAATTCTCCAATCTCTGTCCACAGCTCGGTTCGGCTCCCGTCAAAGCTCGCCAGTCCCGAGATCGGTCCGGGTTCTCGGGGTCAGGGCTTGCGGACTCAAAGAGCTACCTGCTCCACTTGGCCACACTGGCAAGGAGTGGCCAAGGCAGGGAGACCGGTTGAGACAATTTGAGGGGCTGCAAGGCGGATCTCGGGAGGCTGGGGTGGGCGTGGTGCAGGCAGAGGTCCACGTACGCAGCAGGGATCCGCTCCCGAGGCCTTGGCCTGGCTTTCTACTCCTGGTCTCCGCCTTTCCTCTGGGGACTCACCCATTGCCACTCTGGGCTTCGACAGAGCTGTGTGCTCCCCACTCTTTCTTGACCTCCCACTTCAGAGCCGCCCTCGGAGGGGTAGCGCAGCACCTTCAGCTGATGCTCCGACTCTGCACCCGGACACCTGAGCCGCTGCCCCACCCCCTCCCCGCGCTGCCGACCTCCCTCCAGCCCGGCAGCAGAGGTCTTTGCCTCTCCCTCCTTGAGGCCTAGGGGCGAGGGAACCGAGTCACCGAGACAGCGCCTCAATAAAGAGTTGTGCCAAGTGATTGGCTGTAACCTCTGCCCTCCCAGCCTCGCTCCAGGGGCTCCGGCTTAACTCTTCGACGTCGGTCCAGTGCCTGGGGAGGGATGAGAAGGCTTGCGCTCACTTCCAGAGTCCTGCACTACTCAAACCCAGAGCTGGGCTAGAAGTGGAGGACAGAGCAGTCCCTTCCAGTCTCCCGAAGGGGCGCCCTTGCCTCCCCAGGGAGCCCCAGCTTCTCCCGGGTTCCAAACTGTCCCATTGGATCCAGTTCAGGCTCCAGTGGAGTTTGACTGCCCGGTTCCAGCTCGTGATCTGGGATTCACTCTCGCTTCGAGTTGCCTGAGTCGGATGCTGACTTATCCTGGGCATCGAGTCTGCTAAGGACCAGAGTCCGGAAAGTAACGAACGTGGGCGTCTGTGGTTCGCCCTGCATCTGCGCCCCAGTCCCGGAGTCCTCTGCTCTCGCTAGAGGCACAGTTCAGGTGCTGGCCTTCCGACGCCTCCCCTACTATTGGGGGAGAAGGCCATCTTGGACTCCAGAGAATCCTGGGCCCACCCACAGGACTAAAACTGGCGGGATGGGGGTGAGGGAGCCTCGAAGCTGGGCCCCCAGGTGGGGCAGAGGGCGGGGCGGGGGCGGAACCGCCTTTCCCTGACTGGGGCGGGCTGAGCCGGGTATAAAAGCTGCAGAGCGCTGGCGCCCCGCCGCTTTGTAGTTGCCGGCCCACGGTTCACAAGTGAAGGATCAATTCCACAAAGGCTGCCTCTAAGTATCTTTGGGCCGTAGGACTCGGCGTCCAGTGCTCCAGCGGAGGATCTGAAGGGAAAGCCACCTCGCCACCACCATGCCCAACTTTTCTGGTAACTGGAAGATCATTCGATCGGAAAACTTCGAGGATTTGCTGAAAGCTCTGGGTAAGGACGTTTTCGAGCACTGGGGAGAGGGCAAAGAGAGGCGCTGAAGTCCTTGGAGGTGGGGAAGGAAAGACCAGAAAGAAAAGGAGGCCGAATCGGAACGTGGGACCGGGGGTGGGGGGCGCAGAGTGTGTTGGGGGATCGGCATCCCAGAAGAGGGGCGTGCCGGATGCCCTGGGTGCTGGAGCACAGGTCCTGGACTCCCAAATCCTGCTTATTCCGGCGGGGCGCCCACCAGGGCCAGCTCCAGCAGTGAGTCAGCCTGTGAATCAAGTAGAAACCAGAAGCAGGAGGTTTGGTCCCAGGAAGGGGTGTCTGGACCCATTGACCAGGATACTTGGTTATAGGCTCTAAGAATCCAGCATCCAAGCAGGGAGCCCCTGGGAGACATTCCAAGCTCCTTTCCTGTGCCCCAAAAGTAACTCAATCTCAGGGGCAGATCCATTACCCTCAACGCTTGGCTCCTCTCACCAGGTGGTCTGCCACCCCAGCGCCCCGCCCCCCCAGCTCCCCCCACCCAACGCACTTTCCA